CATGTGTTTTATGCTCCACAAGTCCCTCAAATGTTGTGAACTTAACCAGAGTCCTTTAGTTGAGTCACTGTGAGAGGACAGGCTTTCCTGAGGAGGTGAGGAACCTGCTCAACATTTTTACCTGCTCTTTAACATTCCAGTAGGGAAATGGAGCAGAAAAAGTGGCATAGAAAACAAAAAGTCTTTAAATGTCAAGTTGTGTTTTTACACCTGAAAATGGTTCTTAAACACACCAATGATTAACTCATTTTTGAACATTAAAAGATATGTTTCATGTGTTTTACTCTCCATAAGTCCCTCAAATGTTGTGAACTTCAACAGAATCCCTTAGTTCAGTCCTGGTGTGTGTGTACCTGTCATTAATTACCGTGATCACACCTCTGCAGCTCTAAAATACTTGGGCTCTTTTTCACTTGCCCAGCTCACCTTTGTAACATTTGGAAGGTGGCCAGTCCACCCTGATGGTGGATTATTATTCCCTTATTTGCATGAAACTTTGGATATCCACTCCCCAGGCCGTGCTGGCCTCTTGGAGCTGGAGCAACTCGCTGATGTGACATCAGGCAGGAGCAGCTGGAGTTCAGAGCCCTGGAAGTGCTCTGGGAAGGCTCATCCCGACATTCCTGGCTGCTCCAAGGACTGGCTGATGCAAGTGCTGTGCAAGAGCTTGGAATAAGCCCACAGTTGTCTGGAACTGTAACAAGTGCTGTGGTACTCAGAGCCAAACTATTTCCTTTTCTTGTTGCAAAGAAATCAGGAGTTCCTGTGCACTCACACACAGTTCAACAGTTTTCTTTTAATGAGGTTCATGATACAAAAGTGTTTTTTCTCTTCTGTTTTTTATGCCCATATCGTTCTGTGTGGGGACTCCTGGTGCTGCAATAATCTTTCTTCTGCTCCTTGCAGATATAATCATATTAATCAAACCTGACAGTGTTCATCTGTACTGCAACCCTGTGAATTATAACCAGCTCCTGCCCTATGTGGCTCACTGGAGGAACCTGCATTTTCACTGTCTCACTGAAAATGAGGTGAGTGAAAAATGAGTGCAGGCAAGGATGGCTAATGAACTTGTTAATGAACTGATATTTAAAGTGGAACTTTCTTTGACATCCCTCCCAGAAGTCTTTCTTCCTTTTCCTCCTCAGCAGGGCAGTGATCTGGGTGTCTGAGTGGGGATTAATCATTTGCAAGAAGAATATGATGTCAATACTTTTTGTGAAGACAAATGGCTCCCCTCTCTCACTAATTACTGTTGTTTTGACATGAGTCAGTGATCTTTTAATGAGGAAAAACATGTGGGTTGTGAGAAATGCAAAATCTGAATCAAGCACCACAGTCAACACTGAGATTTCCAGCAATAGCCCTTTTTGCTGCCAGGGCAGTGTTTGAATTCATTGGTTGCCAGCAGTTTAAGAATATTAGAAAAGATCAGCTTAGAAAGCAATTAAAAAATGTAGAAATTTTATGTATTTTCATTTTAACTCTCAAATCTTTCTTTCAAGAACTAGTAACTGCACCACATGAGTGGTGCAAGTTTCTTCTTGCATTTAAAAATGAAGGTGTTTTCTAGAAAAAACTGTTTATTGAAGTACTGTTAGAGGAGTTAAAAACAAAAATACAGCTTGTCTAGGTATAGAATAAGGACCTTTACATTCCAGTTGAGAGTGGAAATGCTTCTTCCTAAATTGTGTAGCTCCTTTTCCAAGTTAGAATGACACTGAAATCCCCAGGGAGTGGGTTTGGAGCTGCGGTGCCAGAGGGTGAAGCTGGTGCAAGAATGAACAGGAAGATCAAGGAGAGAAACCTTTTGCTCCCTTGAGCTTCCAGCTTGAAGGTGATGGGGCTTCTGACAAATTAATTGTGTTTTCATGTGGCTGGTTGATGGTTTAATCACAGAATTAGGAAATAATTCTGTTTGTAAGACACCGTCTTGTCCAACCTCTTGCCTAAGGCAGGATGGGTGATGAGATCAGATCAGGTTACTCAAGGTTTTCTTGCAGCTGGATGTTGAAAACATCCAAGGATGATGCCTGCAGAACTTCTCTTGGGTGTCTGCTCTGTTTCCTGACTGTCCTCACGGTGAAAAAGGGTTTCCTTTTGCCAAATCTGAACCTCTCTTGTTTTAAATCATCCCTTTGTCGTGACCACTGTGGAGAACTTGGCTTCACCATCTCAACAATATTTTGGTGGGTGTGGGACAGAAGCTCTGAGGTCCCAGCTTGTGGAACAAAGGCTCCATCATCGTGGTGTCCTTCCACTGCCCTTACTCCAGTTTGTCCATGTTTTCCTGGTCCCTGGATCCCAAAACTGGATGCCTGTTCTCAACACAGTCCCATCAGTGCTTCAAAGAGGGATAATTCTTGATAAAGACACAAACAACTGAGCTACAGGTTCAAACCTGCTGTGGCAAAACCTAAAGCCTGGCCTTGTAAGGCTTTCCTGCTGCCAAAACCCCTGCAGGGAGGGCAAATCTGCTGGTGTAAAACACGTGTATTTTGGAATCAGGAGTGGAACAGCTCCTACCACCCTGTTGCCAGTGCAACTGCAATCTCAGCTCTTGCATTTTAAGCTCCATCTGCTGCCGGGCTCTGATATGATTTATCGGGGTAAGTCCTAACCTTAATCACACAGTGCTGCCTGGAAAGAATGATGTCACCACAAAGGTGATCCATGGGCCTTGTTATTTGTGGGAATGAAGGCAAAGGTTTGATTTTTTTTGGAAGCTGAAAATGCAGTTTTGCTTCGCTGCTGAGCACTTCCAGCCACGTTCCCAATGTATGTGGAGTACCTGTTTCCCTGATTACTGCTGAGAGGGAAACAAAACCTTGCTGTGTCAGGCTTTAAGTACATCCTGTTTATAGGAGGATTGTGGCTTTTAAGCCCCCTTTTTTTTTTTCAATGATAGGAATAACTTTTACTTGCTTTTTAAAACATGGAACCGAAAAAGCTCAAAGGTTTTAGAAATAAATAAAACAGTGCTTTACCTGGCTCTGGCAAAACCTGCAGCCTCTCCTTCCTTTCTTACTACTTGCTTTTAACTAGACCACAGGAATTTAGGGGAATATCCTTAAAGGGAAAAAAAAAATCCTCATATATTTAATAAAATGCCCATTTTCAAAATGGCCAAATAGGATAAAGTGGTGAAATTTGATGCAGTAAATTTTGGGGTGTCTTGGCCTTACCTTTCATGGAACTGGCTGAATTTATTCCTGCAAGAGCAGACTGGGAACAAGCCTTTAGCACCCTGCCAAACTCCCAAATTTTTATTCCAGTGGCATTTTTAAGCCTTGAGAAACTGGCAGTTGTTTGGGGCTTGGCTTTGAGCTGGGACTTTGATCTGACTCCCTGGGATTGAAGCAGGAACGTGGAGGAGCTGGGGCTGCATCCTAAATTCAGGCTGGGCTTAAAAGAACTTGTTCTTAAAATAAATGTCTTGGGTGTACCCTGGAGCTCAACAGGAGCTGCACACAACAAGTTCATAATCATGTCATTTGCCTTGATAAGAAGTTCAGAGCACTGTATATAAAAATATAAATAAAATAAAATAGGCAAACCACCACCGCCTTCTGATCTTGCTCCAGAAAACAAGTGACTCTTGAAGGAGTTGGTTCCAGATTTGCTGCTGAACTGTTACCTTTTCAGATAATAATCAGTGTGTTTCCAGGGTTTTTTTTCCTGTTATAAGCATGATTTTAGTGTGATTTGTCTCTTCAGTGTAGTTTTTATGCTTTTCTAAGCCATGACGTTTGTTCTTCAGTGACTTCAGTCATGAAGCAGCAACATGGTGCTGCATGGTAGTGTCTCCTTTCCTTCTCCTTTTCCTACAATCCACCTTTCCCTCCCACAGCTATTCCTTATTCTGTGTCCTGATCATTTTTCCTCAGGGGCATGTTTTTTGTGGCACATTTCTTCTGTGGCACGTGGGTCGGCGTTCTAAAAATACCTTTAATTTTTAAAATCTAGTAGATGACGCTGAAAGTCTTCACTGAGAACTGAAAATAAAGTATATAATTGTACCTTCATCTACCATTATTAAAAAACTTTCTCTGAAGTTTTTTTTTTTTTCAAAAGAACTGTTTCCAAAAGGATGATTTCCACTGGCTTCAGTGGTGTCACTGCCATGATGAAATTTCTAATGCAGGGTGTAAAAGAGGTGCTTTAGCTCCTGGAAGTCATAGGTGATATTTTTAGTGGTTTACATGCTACATATTCACTTTCCTACCAAACAAATCAGGGCTTGCCTAATCCAGCTTGATTTGTAAATGGCTTCTTTCAGTATGAAGACGAAGAAGCCGCAGAGGAATTCAAGATCTCCAGCTTTGTGGACATGGTCCGGGACTGCAGCCGGATTGGGATTCCCTACAGCTGCCAGGGTAGGTTGGGTTGGTTTATCCTCAGAGCTGAAGTGCTTTGCACATCCAGGCTCAGGGAATGGAGATTTCCTTGCCTTTGGGAAGAAATAAGCATTATAAGTGTGTCAGTAGGTTCCTTTCAGCCTCTTTTTCCTTCAGAGGTGGATTTTTTTCCTGCTGAATTCCATTTCTAAGGAGTGGAAGCGCCCAGACTCGATCCGAGGAGGGAACACTCACAGTGTGAGGCAGAGGAATGATTTGCATTCAGAGAAGTGTGTTGTGCTGCTACAGAAGTTCTCTGTTCCCATGGGAGCTCCAGAGAAATCCTCCTTTATTTAAGGGGAGAATAAACGTTTCGTTGTGCAAGTTTCCCTTTTTAGCGCTGACAGAACTGCCCTGCACGGCTTCCTGTTGGGCTCTGGAGCCAGCCCTGCAGCCTCAGCACTGTAATCTCACATTCCTTTTTTATTCCTAATTCCCAATTGCTTCCCTTGAGGAAGGGCTGATAAGCTCTGAGTGCCTGGAAGGTCATTAATGGCTCAGGGCAGGGGGGAAGGACGGGGGTTCTGTGTTAGGCAGGATCTGAAGGTGTGGAGCTTAAGGGTGGCAGTCACACTTCACGTGGGTTACAGCTGCTCCAAGGAGTGCGGGATGAATAGTTTTTCTCTCCCCTGACTTAAAATTATAATTAAATGGGGATGATGGAAGAAATTCTTGGCTGTGAATTTGGTGAAGCCCTGCCCAGAGAAGCTGTGGCTGCCCTTGGATCCCTGGAAGTGTCCAAGGCCAGGTTGGATGGGTCTGGTGGAAGGTGTCCCTGCCCATGGCAGGGAGTAGGACTGGATGATCTTTAAGATCCCTTCCAACCCAACCCACTCTGTTATTCTATGACAGTGTTTTACTTCAGAATAAAAATCACTTTTCACTTAAATATTTCCAGTTGTATAAAGACAGGTTAATCGAGATCCTCTGCTAATTCAGGCCAACTGTGAGACCTCCCAGAAGGTTAAAGTGCCAGGATTTGTGAGGGGATGTCCCTGTGCTCCCTGTCCTTTGCAGGTCACCTGCAGATATTTGACATGTTCATCGTGGAGAAGTGGCCGATCGTTCAGGCCTTTGCTCTGGAGGGGATCGGGGGCGACGGCTTCTTCACCATGAAATACGAGGTGAGTGCTTCCATTTTCACTTCCTTTCTGAGGCACGAGTTAATCATGGAATTATCTCACTTGGAAAGTACCTTTTGAGATCATCTAGTCCTGACTCACAGCTCGAGGGAGGTTCCAAATTGGATGAAGTTTTTCAGGATGTAGTGAAGCTGAGTTTTGAATGTGCCAGGAAGGAAACACCACAATCCTGGTGGGAGACTGTTCTGAGCTCCACAACACCCTGTCCTGGATAAACCAGGATTGTTTGGTCACCCTCTCTAACCCCTTATTGGGATTTAGAACTGTTTTCCTTTCCTTCTAGAGTCAACATTACCAATAACCCAGGTTTTTTGGCTCTGCTAGGTAGGTTACAGACCTTCCTAGGTGGGTTTTAGATCTTCTTACACGGGTTTTATATCTTCCTGGATGGGTTTTAGATCTTCCTAGATGTGTTATAGCTCTTCCTAAATGGATTCTAGATCTTCCTGGATGGGTTCTAGATCTTCCTAAATGGATTATAGGTCTTCCTGAATGGGTTCTAGATCGTCCTAAATGGGGTCTAGATTGTCCTGAACCAGATCCAGACATTCACAAATTTTTTTCTAGATCTTCTTAAATGGGTTTTAGATATTTTTGGATGGGTTATAGAACTTCCTAGATGGGTTATAGATCTTCCTAAATGGGTTATAGGTCTTCCTGGATGAGTTACAAGTCTTCCTGGATGGGTTCTAGATCTTCCTAAATGGGGTCTAAATGGTACTAAACCAGATCCAGACATTCACAAATTTTTTTCTAGGTCTTTTTAAATGGGTTTTAGATCTTCTTGGATGGGTTATAGATCTTCCTAGATGGGTTATAGATCTTCCTGGATGAGTTACAGGTCTTCCTAGATGTGTTATAGATCTTCCTAAATGAGTTACAGGTCTTCCTAAATGGGTTCTGGATCTTCCTAAATGGGGTCTAGACTGTACTAAACCAGATCCAGGCAGTCACAATTTTTTTTCTAGATCTTCTTGGATGGGTTATAGATCTTCCTAGATGGGTTTTAGATCTTCTTACAAAGGTTCTAGATCTTCCTGCATGGGTTATAGATCATCCTAGATGGGTTATAGATCTTCCTGGATGTGTTATAGATCTTCCTAATTGGGTTATAGGTCTTCCTGGATGGGTTACAGGTCTTCCTAGATGTGTTATAGATCTTCCTAAATGTGTTACAGGTCTTCCTGGATGGGTTATAGGTCTTCCTAAATGGGTTCTAGATCTTCCTGAGTGGGGTCTAGACTCTACTAAACCAGATCCAGACATTCACAATTTTTTCTAGATCTTCTTAAATGGGTTTTAGATCTTCCTAGATGGGTTATAGGTCTTCCTGGATGGGTTATAGGTCTTCCTAAATAGGTTCTAGATACTCCTAAATGGGTTCTAGATATTCCTAAATGGGATGTAGATTGTCCTTAACCAGATCCAGATAGTCATAAATTTGTTCTAGATTTTAATAGATGGGTTCTAGGTCTTACCAGATGGGTCCTAGATCTTCCTAGATGGGTTATAGGTCTTCCTGGATGAGTTCTAGATCGTCCTAAATGGGATCTAGATTGTCCTAAACCAGATCCAGACAGTCACAAATTTGTTATAGATCTTACTAGATGGGTTCTAGGTATTCCCAGATCTTCCCAGATGGGTTCTAGATCTTCCCAGATGGGTCCTAGGTCTTCCCAGATGGGTTCTAGATCTTCAGAGCAGGAGGAGCCAGTTAGTGACCAACCCCTTGAGATGAGCTGAGAAAATAAGAAGTGACTGTTATTTCTTGGGCCGTTGGTTATGACACAAGAGATGCATCTGCTTCTCTCCCTGCCATTATCTATTCCTGGCTCAGCAGAGCCCACTGAACAAGGGCAGCACTCAAAATTATTTTGCTCCTGGATTTAATAATGATTTGCTGTTCCACTCTGAGCAACTTGTGTCATTTGATTTGCCCCTTTATTAATTCTACTCTGACATATCGTCTTCAGAGAACAGCTTTGCATTTCTGGGCTTATTTGAAACGTCTTTTATTTCCTTTTCTTGAGCCTGTGCCACAGCAATGCAGATGTCCTGCTTTTCTTGTCACTCCTCCTTTTTTACAGCCAGAACAGGCTTTGTCTGACTTGTGGCAGCTGGAAAACCCCCAAAGATTTAACAGTACGTTGTTAAAAGTCCCATCACATGGAGAACTGCACACACTTGCTCAGAAATCTGCTCTGTGAGTCTGTGTCTTTCTGAGCACTTTTCTCTTCCCACTGATACCTTTCCTCAGGTTTTTTTTTCCTATTTCCACCGAGGTGCTGTAACACCTGGTGTGAACCTGCCAAAACCCATTAAATGCAGAGTGCAAACAGAGAAGCATCCTTGTGGAGGAGTATCAACAACCCTTGTTGACGTGTGAGATCACTCAGTGACAATTTGTCTGTCCATTCAGGAGTTGTTTGGCTCTTTAATTGCCCTTTAATTACCCCAATTTATTTCACAAATCCTCGGAGGCTTTGGAAAAAGGTGCAGACACGGGGGTGGCTCAGCCAGAACCTCTCTTTCATCCAGGGAGTTGATTCTGTCCTTAAAGCACTCAAAAAGGAGCAGGGAAAATTCTTGGCCTCCTGTTTGAAGAGCAATCCTGGAAGCTCTGGCAGTTCAGCCAGTTCTTTTCTTCCTCCTTAAAGGGGATTTGAAGTGGGAAATGACATTCCTGACTCTTTAGCTCAGTGTTTGTGTGAGGTTCTCTGTCTGGCAGCTGCTCTGTGTCACTACTGGGGAAGGAAACCAATCTAAGGCAGGAAATACTGTAAATTATCTATGAATTAATACTTCTGCCATTATTAAAAGGGGGGTGTTTTGGTGCATTTTTGGCTCCTCAAGCTGACTTTCCCTCTGTTGTGTCTTCTGTTAGATTTAAATATAATGTAAGGATGATAATTCAGGATTTTTTTTCTAGTATTTTAAGGACTTTTTCTCCCGTTCTACACAAGTCACAGTTGCTCAGGACGCTGTAATTTGCTGATGGGTGAATGGAAGTGATGCCTGGGAAATCATCATTAATAAAGCTAATTATACAAGTAACTGGAGTAGCTGTAAAGCAGTGGGTTAATAAAATCCCAGTTGGTGCTGCATTTTGAATTAAGTGGGTAGTGGGCAAACCTGTAAATGCAGAAATCATTCAGATACAAGTGTCCCTTCAGGGTGTATTTTGGAATGCTGTTCTCATATTCTCTCATCCTACTACTTGGAAGAAGGTGTTGCTAAGTTAAACATGCTTAGCCTAAATTAACATTACTTTAGAGCAAGAACATGTGTGGGTTGAGTAACCTTGAAATTTGGTTCTTTCTAAGGCAGTTCTTTGCAATTAACTCAGCTTGAAAAACTTTATGAAATGATCTGTTTGAAAGATGCAAAGAAAACTTGGCTTCAAACCCTCACTGCAGATGAGGGGTCGCAGGATCCACAACACTTTTATCTGCTCTGTTCTTTTGTAACCAGGGGTGTGAAAACATTTCTAAATTCAGAGTTCAGGAGGGCTCTCGGGGCAGCTCCAAGGCTGTCTCACTGCAGCTTAAACCTAAACCTGTGCCCTTCTATTGAGGTGTTTTTCACAGAAATGTGTTTCAAATCTTTCGATGTGTTTAAAATCTCTTCCAGTTGATGGATGTCAGCGTTGATTTGTGGAAGACCTACAGCAAAATGGATCCTGTTTCCTTGGAGGATTTGCTCTTCGAGGTAAAGACAGTGAAATGTTCTGAATCGACTCATAGTTGGAGAAAAATGGTTGTGATTTTGTTTGGTTTTAGTAGTGTTTATGGACTCAATATACAGGGTCCTTTTCCTCCTTCTCCTTTTCCTCCTTCTCCCTCTCTTCCTTCTCCTTTTCCTTCTCCCTTTCCTCCTTCTCTTTTTCCTTCTCCTTTTCCTTCTCCCTTTCCTCCGTCTCCCTTTCCTCCTTCTCCCTTTCCTCCTTCTCCTTTTCCTCCTTCTCCTTTTCCTCCTTCTCCCTTTCCTCCTTTTCCTCCTTCTCCCTTTCCTCTTTTTTTCCTTCTCCTTTTCCTCCTTCTCTTTTTCCTTCTTCTTTTTCTCCTCCTTTTTCTCCTTCTCCTTTTCTTTCTCCCTTTCCTCCTTCTCTTTTTCCTTCTCCTTCTCCTTTTCCTTCTCCCTTTCCTCCTTCTCCCTTTCCTCCTTCTCCCTTTCCTCCTTCTCCTTTTCCTCCTTCTCCTTTTCCTTCTCCCTTTTCTCCTTCTCTTTTTGCTACTCCTTTTCCTCCTGCTCTTTTTCCTTCTCTTTTTCCTCCTTCTGCTTTTCCTCCTTCTCCTTTTCCTTCTCCCTTTCCTTCTTCTCCCTTTCCTCCTTCTCCTTTTCCTCCTCCTTTTCCTCCTTCTCCTTTTCC